ACACTGAAGCTGTGTGTGGGTTTAAGACATGGCAAGTCTTTCACACACCTGTAGACACTCCAGTAGACACTCTGGGTAGTGTTCCACAGGACCTTCCCTTCAGAACCTGTTGGTCATCCGAGAACCACAGTTACAGGGCGTGCGCTGTAGTTAGCAGTCTTGTGGACTGGTCAGTGCCCGGGCAGAACTGACGGTAAATGTTCTCAGTGCCATTGTGCAACACTCCCAGGGTGGGGTAAGAAAAAGCAGGAGCCTGGGGTCAGACACCGAGTGACCTTTCAGTCACTGGACTTTCCCTGAGCTTCAGCAACATAAAAAGGGCATATAAACTCCACCTCTCCAGTTCACTGCCAAGCTGAAAAGAGTGGATTTGTAAGTGATAGCTGTGATAAACTATATTCAGTTGGTCCTGGATCTCTGGGAACTGGGTGCCACTAACAACAAGTTAGTGCTTTGCCACGGAGAGCATCCTGTTCCCTGTGGAGAATTACACAGTCAACCCCAGTGATGGCGGGGGACCTTACATCTTTACATGATGATGTATATTTTTGTATCTTTTAATCATCACAAAACATACTGGTTCCTGCACTCACACTGCCTGGCTTTAGTGCATGCTTTGTAAATTACTATTTCTAGACTTCCGTTTTGTTTTTCAGTAAAATGGGGCTCATATGTACTTCCAGCATATTTGAGGATAAAAGGACATAGTATGTATAACTAAGTAAGACACTGCCTTATAAAGTCCGTTTGTATACATGTTAAGTAATAGGTGTTTACCACTTCAGAAAATGGAACAATTTGTAACATACACACAACTCTCCTTACAACCTTGAGTCCCAGGTTGGTACCCACTACTCCTAGTTTTAGAGTCCAAGAGGGTGGCTGTACAGAATCAGCTGAGGGTTCTATATTAACAGCATGCTTATGCATTTCCAGAGCTCCAGTGGACGTTTGGGCAGTGTCCCATATTGGCTGCTTGGGAAGACAATCTGAAGGATTCTCCATACTTGATACTACTGGGCAAATATCAGCTTTTGTGACATTCATCCTGCAGGGGGCCCCTCTGAGCATTCTAAGTGAGTCGGACAAAAAACAAGGAACATACAGGGGTTGTACAGCTTACAGGATTTATTCTGTGCTTTATTTCATGGTCAGTTCAGCACTTGGCAACACACATGATTATAGGAGACATCTATAGACACTTTAGGTTCCATTATTGAGCATTTCAGAACTCTGGTGTTAGAAGAAATGTTTTTAAAATCCTGGAAATCAATTTTCCATTCCACTCAGATGCTTTCCCTCCCCATTATACTCCCAATAATAGCTACTGAAATCACAACAAATTGCTTTAATAATCAGCCCAAACCACTGTCATTCCACAAAGGTCCCCCCTCCCCAACAGGAATAAATGTCCCTCTTCTGAACTCCCTTAGATGTTCATCTCTGTGGTGAAAGTTATGTCTCCTGCTAGAGCGAATTCTTCATAGAAAAGTCACCTTCCACAAAATAAGTCTTAAAAACAAGTGTAAAGAGCTGGTCTCTGGCCCAACACACTCTAATGCAGTGGTTCACGACCCGTGGGTTGCGACCCCCATACCAACTGACCCTTGCACAGGGGTCGCTTAAGACGGTGGGAGAACACAGATATTTACATTACGATTCATAACAGTAGCAAAACTACACTTACGGAGTAGCAACAGAAATAAATTTATGGTTGAGGGTCACCACAACACGAGGAACTGTATTAAAGGGTGGCAGCGTTAGGAGGGCTGAGAACCACCGCCTCAACAGATGCGCTCTTCCCTGCCTCACCTTTCACTCTCAGAGGAATTCCCAGATGATTTTTCCCCCAGTTTACAGGGTTGCTTTTAAATGAAAAGGCTGGACAGCCTTGCCATATAGTCTGGAGTTTTTTACTGCCAATTAACAGAATCTTTATGTAACTGATAACTTTAGCCTGATTATTTTACATATAAAATACTGGCATTAAGCCTGGTGCTTTTAATTTTTGCTGAGACCCATCATCCCACCTTAAAATAACTGCAGCCTTCTCAATTCCAAGTCACAACTGCCAGACTCCATCATTATCTCAACTCTGGAAATGCCAAGTCCTCAGAATCCTCACAGCTGATGAATGGAGAGACTGATTAGAACCACCCAAGGAAGCGGAGAAAAACTCCTTGACGGATGCTTCCTTCAAACGCCTGCCCCTCTCACCCAATGTCAACATCAATTTCTCTGTTAACAAACATCTACTGAGGTCATGGCTAAAAGTCAGGCTGTGAACTAGGCCCTCCGCCGAAACTGGTGGGCAAGGCAGAGAGGCTGTAAAGCCCATCACTGAAGAACTAACCATCTAGCTTATTCTTTCCACAGGCGCATTTATCAAACGCTTGCTACGACCATCGGCTTGTAGCTGTTTCGGGGTTCGAAGGTGTATTGATTGATGCCCCCGAGAAGCTCGCAATCCACCTGGGAAGGCTAGAAGCAACAGTGTAGGAGGAATCCTAGCAAGGGTCTAAACTTAGGGATGCGGACAGAAGGGCGGAAGAAGCAATCAATGACGGCAGCATGACCGGGGCTTGACTCTGAAGACTGGCTGGGTCGGAGGAAAACAGAATGAGCACTCTAAAAAGCAGGGCACGGACAAAGTGGAAGATATGAAAATGAGCATGGCTGAAGGGCAGGAGGAGCCAAGCAAAGAACAGGGGTTCATGTCTGAAAGGAGCGGGAAGTCAAACTGTTGGGTTAAATTTGGGCAAGAGTATAAAACACATGAAAAACACACTGGGAGGTTGGATCTTATGCCAAGGGCAGGAAGACTGGCAAGGGTTTGAACTGTAGATCGTCCTTGGCTTGCTTTGGGTCCAGGTTCCCAGTACATATATAGTAAATTAAAAATATATCACCTAACCTGCTAATAGAGCTCAGCCTAGCTTACCTTAAAGGTACTCAGAGCACTCCTAATAGCTTATTGCTGGACAAAACCATCTGACATGGAGACGCTCTTATAATCAAGTGTTTAATTTACACAATGGATTGGGTACCCACATCTAAAACCACTGGCAACGGAAGAAGAGGTGCATGACTTTTTAGCATGGCAAGAGAATGTTGTCACCTACAATGTTCATGCATGAGAACTGCCCAAGCAAGTTACAAGAAAAAGAAAATTGCAAACAAAGAAATCTCATAATGCTTTACGTAAGTTACTGTTTTTTGTGTTGGCCCCCATTCGTAGCTCCACAGCACCACATGTGGCCTACTGGTCACTGGTTAGACACGTGTAGAACAGCCCTTGTTTCCCCTCCTGACGTCAGGGCTAACTAGAAGCTGTAGCTCACGGCTACGACTCAGCATTATAAGAGAATACCACATTGTTTATCACTACCCGGAGGCAAGGATGAGAAGTCAAAGTATGGTTTCTGCTGAATGCACATCCCAATTTCACCATTCAAAGTTGAAAAGTCTTAAGTCAGACCATCCTCATTTGGGGGCCATCTTGCATTGAGAATAGCTTCTGATCAATTAAGCCTGAGCTCATGGGTGTCAGGCTTCCTGTGGGGTATGCTTGGAGACATGCTCTCAGGAGATCCATGTCTGCAGGAAGTTGGTGTGGTGGAAGGGGCTGGGATGGGGACCTCAATGGCAAAGAGATGAAGGCTGGGGGGGGGGGGCTGTAAAAATCACCAGAAGATAGTGAAGGGGAGTTTGGGAGGTGCGGGTGGGCGGGCTTAGGCTCTAAGGGAGGCTGAAGAAAGAAAAGGAAATAATATAGGGCTGTCTCTTGGGAGAAATTGTCACAAGAAGAAGTTAACAAGATCTGATGCGGTTTCCTAGTTAGAAAAAGAGAAGGATTCCCTAAATCAGGTGATCCCGAGAAACCATAAATATTAAAAAAACGAAGGAACTCTCACCATCAAAGGCACAAGTTTAGTAGACACTATAAGGAAATGTGTTCTCACGCCTCTAGCCTGAGGCTAGGACCACAGCCCATGAAGTCTGTTAAGCAAGCAGATAAACAGGAATGGATACATAGTTCTACAACTAACGATCTGTTATGACAGGAGGGTAGATAATATTTAAGAAGTTTTTATTAGATAATAAAAGTAGAAGTTATCAAATCAGCATCATGGAAATACTACATACTGTAGACACACGGCTTCACAGATTATCTTTCTCTGCTATGATACTTAGGGGGTCCTAACCATTACTGTTATACACTGAACGGATAAACCTCAGCAGAAAAATCAACATATGGCCTATTTATACATCAATCTTCACAACTCTAAATTAGCCATTTTGATGTTTCAAGGAAATAACACCTTCATAACAGTCGACTTCAAAAGAGGAAAGGCAAAAAGAGGTTTGCTTTTCTCTTATAATGTTTACTCGTTTTTTTTTTTAACTGTCTAATGAAAATCCCATTTTAATGAGTGATTCCACTTGAAGGTAGAACAGCAGCAGCAGAAGAATTAATTGATGAGGTGAATTATGTTCAACCATCCAGAGATGGGCAAATGCAGCCCTTTAAGTCTGTCTGCGTGGCAAATGCCCTTACACCCTGTGCTGTGCTTATGGAAACTACTGTCCTGCGTATACACATTAGAACCACCACAGATTAGATCACCAGAGTCAAGGGACACAGGAACAGCACCGCAGACGTCACCAGGAAAGCAAGATTACAGAGCAGTGACTGAGCAGTCCCCATCACATACATAGAAAACGTACTCGCTTGCCATATGGTAAGACTGGTGGGAGCAGCCGAAATCTCACCAGAAGCAACCTCTACCTTTTCCATTTTATCAAAACTGGAACTAAAGCTTCTTATCCTGACTTATTTCTTAAGATGCTGGCTGTAGTTGTGTAAAGAGGTTCTCAAGTGAAGACCAACTTTGCCCTTCCAAAAAAAAAAAAAAAAAAAAAGACAACCATGACCGAACAGCCACTACCAACAATGGTACCACCCTCCGAATGCAGACTCAGAAAATGATTTGACTTATTTATTTATTTATTTTTTTCGAGACAGGGTGTCTCTGGGTAGCTCAGGTTGTCCTGGAACTCACTCTGCAGACCAGGCTCTCCTGGAACTCACTCTGCAGACCAGGCTCTCCTGGAACTCACTCTGCAGACCAGGCTGTCCTCGAACTCACTCTGCAGACCAAGCTGGCCTTGAACTCACGGAGATTCGCTTGCTTCTGCCTCCCGAGTACTGGGATTAAAGGTGTGCACCACTACAGCCCCAGCAGATTTTTTTTTCTTTTAAAGGACTAAAACTGAGGCATGTCTAAGGTTGAATGGCCACTTCCATGGGGAGGTGATCTCCCGGGCAGTGCTTCACAGACTGCCACGCTGTGGTGGCTTAGGAATTTGCTTCTCTCACTGCTGACATGGTGAGTGAGAGGTAGCTTCTGGGGCCAGAAGATTTCTCTTTCCACAATGGCCACTTGATTTGGTGTGAGCAACTGAAGACTTCTTCTGTGGGGTGCTCCCCACAACAAGATGAACACAAAAGAAACCCTGGTCATTCTGCCTACCTAAATGAGCACATTAACTAAATGGATTCCTAGGAAATAATTTAATATTTCAGCGATTAAAGGACAAAAATTGCCAATTAACACTCTCCTTTCCCAGAAATGTTCAGTGTTTTTTGCCTTAATCTCTTAAATATTCTCTGTATTCAAATAATTTATTTTTATGCAAATTATCTTTTGGAGCTAGTCGTGTGTGTGTGTGTGTGTGTGTGTGTGTGTGTGTGTGTGTGTGTGTGTGTATGTATTTAGAGCCATACGGAATCTGACATGTTTTCTGCTCTGTTGCTCCACAGAAAAAGGTTTTAACCCAGCTTGAGTTTATTTCAAAACTCTAATTAGAGACTGAAGTAGTATTTGCCTTGTCCAAATAGAAAATCATTCGCAAAGTTGATTTTTTTTTCTTGGTTAAAAAAAAAAACCAACAAACACCAGATAGAGATTTTTTTTTTTTTTAAAGCACTACAGTTACTTGATAAGACTGCCCCCCATCTACACAGCATATTGCTTTCCGGTTAAGTAACACAATTTCATAAGGCTCATAAAATATTTTATCCAGAAGGCAACTTTTTTTTAAAAAGAGTTCTTTCAAAATAATTGGTTTTACTACTTGAATAGTCGATTCTATGTCTGACTTCCTGTCCCTTCTTTTCTCTGCCATATTGCACATCTGCTTACTCTCTGGAAAACAGAATCCGAGGAGCAATGAAATGCTCCTCTACAACAAAATAGAATGATAACATAAAGACCACACGACCTTACTCTTTCTCTGCAGATTCTAAAATTTCTGGCGTTTTTTTTTTTTCCTCCCTTAAAATCTGGGGTGCTGCGAAGGCGGCTGATACTTGAGTGTTTTAAATAAGCAAGTGAAAATAATACATATGTTTTATGAAAGGAAAGAAAGGCGCCGTGGTTGAAGTTCAAGGGTTTTCACCAGCCTCAAGCTACAGAGAGGTTGTCGTGCACTCAAAGCAAAATGCTGTGCAGGAAGAATCTTAAATGAAAGTGTCGGTTCTCCACAACCTTGGCACCTACTTAAAACCAGGACTGCTGGCAGCCGAAATCTCATCAAGTTCATAAACACCAACCCCGCTGCGCACTGGAAGCCTCCACTGGCCAGGATGGGGAGGAAATGATGGGAGGCTTCCGTCGCATCCCGGTCCAGGTGATGGCTGGGTCCTTCACCCCGGCGGGTGTCCGCAGCAAACGCGGACCTCCCTCCCAGCAGTGAGCGAGAAGCTCGGCGATCTCCCCAGACACGCACAACTCAAGTTGCTGCCGCGTCTGGGATACGACCCTCCTCGGTCAGGGCTGCAGACCGCCCGCCGCCCTGCGGGCTCCGGGGGTTTATCCGCCCAGACGCGGCGATGGATGACACCGCTCAGTCCCGCGGCCCCGGCGCCCGCTCCCGCCCGCCCCGCGCGCCCTCGGCGCGCGCACGCGAGCGCTCTAGGACCCGATCCCGCGGGCGCCGAAGGGGTGCGGGGTGCCCGGGGACCTGCGGCCCCGCTCGGGCCGGGCAGCTCGGCAGCGCGGAGCTGGAGCGCAGGGGGGCGCCCGCGCGGAGCAGGGCCGGCCGGGTCCACATCCAGTCGCCTGCCCGGCCGCCCGCCCGGCCGCCCGCTCGCCCGGCCGCCCCGGGGAAGGCAAGGACGGCGACCTCCGCGTCCGGTCCGCCGAGCGCGGGCCACACCCAGCGCCCCGGGAGGCGGCCTCCGGGAGCCGGGGCTGCGGAGTGCGCCGCCGCTCGACCACCTCCACCCCGGCCGCGCAGGCCCCGCCGCGTCCCGCGCCCCGGGGACCCCGGCTTACCTCGGTGCGAGCGCGGCCGCTCTGTCCCGGGCCGGGGCGCGGCGCTGGTGGCCCCTGCAGAGCGGAGGGCGAGCGGAGGGAGAGCCGCGGCAGGGCCGCTCGGCCAGCGGGCTGGATTCCTTCACTGCCTCAACTCCGCGCCGCCAGCCCCACGCAGGGACACTCCCGCCCGCGCAGCCCCCACCCCCCGCCCGCCCCTCCGTGTCACTCACCAGGAGCACACACCCCGCCAGCGCCCCTCGCTCCGGTTTGCACACACGCCGCCGGATCACGCCTCCCTGGGTTTTGTATCCGCTCACACGCACGTTCTGACACAGATCCCGTCCCTCCACCCGCCCTCCCTAGCTCCTTTCCCACCCTACTTTCTAGAAGAATCCCCCATACAGCTTCCGCACTTTGCTCGCTTGCCCGGCACCAACCTCCTCCCCTTCCCCTCCAAACCTCCGCCTCCCCCCCACCCCTTCCCCGAAACTGCCCACTGCTATCCAAACACCGGTCACTACCCGCTGGAGGAGCAAGAGAATCGTTCTTTCCTACCCAGGAAAACGAACTTTGCTGCCCCAGCACCGTCTGCAAAAGGCGAGATGCTTCTCCCGGGAGAAGGTAGTAATGCTTTCTGGGGGTGAGCCAAGCTCAAAATGTAAACAAAGATAGCTTATTCGGAAATGCCGCGGAAAATCAGGCCCCCCGGGACGAGCGCTGGGGGGCTCAGCCCGACCTCCGAAACCCAACTAAGCCCAAGTGTTCCGGCCCCTCGCCTTCGCTGCGGGTCTCACGCGGGGTTCTGAGCGTGCGTGATCACCCACCGAGCTGCCCCGAGACGCCCGTGGCACCGGCCGGTGGTGTTTCTGCCCGGGAGCGCAGGAGTCTGGAGAGTAAAGGCAATCATTATTCATGATGGACGCACTTTAGATCCGCACACCTCTTCCAGAGGCAGCGGAGGGAAATGCAGGCTGCTCTCAGGTTTATTTTTGAAGGGTAACTTCCTAGCAGCCTTTCCTCTGGGCAGTAACTGTTTCTCGGCGGCTTCGTGGGTCTCCCAGCCTTTCACAAACATCAGGCTAGTCAGCGACGCCTCTCAGGCTCAGAACAGCAGAATTGCATTCCATTTAAGGAAGCCGTTATTTGAAACGAATTACACTTTCAGGTAACATTCGGTTCTACAATACATCATACCCCAGTTGACAAAGCCCACTCCGGTTGCAGGGAAGAGCTAAAAGGAAAACACGTTTTGTTCCCTGACTGGGAGTGTTCCTCTACTTCATAAGGCTGGATTGCTGAGTCTAAAAATTAACTCGAGCGAGTGCTTTAGTAGATGATTTAATCCTTCAGATAATCTCATCAAGCAGGTGTGGTTTTTGTCCGCCTTTTTTGCAAATAAAGAAAGGAGACAAAAAGGTTCATTAACTTGCCCAAGTTTTTGGCTAGTAAGTAGAGGAAGAATTTGAACCCAGCCTGACCCCGCCTTGCTGCATAGGGCAAAGCTAGCTTCTGGACTACATGTCAAGGACAAATGCCATCCTACTGCTTTTTGAATTCAGAAGAATTAGTGAGTAACTTGGAACGATTCAACTTGGAGTGTGGTGCACATTTCAGATCTTCTTGCAAAGTAAGTCATTTAAGTTTTGAGCGAGGGTTCCCCAAGACTAGAATTCGAAAACGAGCAACGCATTATGGCTCCCCTAAGGATGGGCTTTGGAAATAACATTGAACTGGTCTTCACTCCTTTCTTCTATCACTTCATAACCTTCGCGGAACTCCAAATCCAGCTTGCTTACTGAAGTCTGACAGAAAAATGCTTTCAAGACCAGAGGGATGAAAGGGTTCTCAGAAGCCAGACCTGGCCTTTTCATATTTGAGGGTGGCTTTCCAGTAAGTCGTACCTGTAATAATAACTGCTCTGTGCGCCAAGAGCAGAGTTCGAAGCGTGGAACTGATGAAAAAACACAGCAGAGGTTACAGTTAGACAAATGGACTCCAGCTGATCTCCAGGTGTGTGGGGGGGGTGCCCAGCCCCTGAAAGGACAAGGATGTGATAACCGTCAGGACACAATAGAATCTTTCAGGAGTTAGCCTGGCCCAGGAAAAGAAATCAGACTTCTGAAAGTTTTATAGATAATTTTAAATCCAACTTTGACCTTTGGTTGCTCAAATTAATTTATGCTGGAAAAAAAACCCTTATGTTTCTTGAATCAGAGGTTTAAAGTGCTTACTGAAATATAGGTAAAAACTTCTTGCACATCAAATAACTAACAAGACTATATTTTGATGAATCAAACATAAAAGATTTTAATAGCATGTAAAATAGATTCCTACTATTATTAACTGGAGATGCAAAAACCCAAAGAAATAAAAAGAGATAAATCTGTGTTTTTAAGTAGATGTTGGAAAATTGTTTGAAAAAGTACATTGTTTGAAATTATAACCAGAAGGTTATGTCAATATGACTCTCTTGTTCAGAATTATTTTGTAAGATTATAATCCATGAATCTCATTTTACTGTTTTTTTTTTAAACTAAATTTAAAAAATAAAGATTCAGTGGTGGTGCACACTTTTAATCCCAGCACTTGGGAGGCAGAGGCAGGTGGATCTCTGTGAGTTCAAGGCCAGCCTGGTCTACAGAGCTAGTCCAGGACAGGCTCCAAAGCTACAGAGAAACCCTGTCTCGAAAAACCAAAAAAAAAAAAAAAAAAAAAAAGATTCTTTCTGAAGCAAACAAGGACCACATCAGCAAATGTCTTCATGAGGGCAAAGTGTATTGGTTTCTATTTCCTAATGTTTCCATGCACGTATTTTAACCTGCAGCTACCTCTTTCTTCCATATTGTCTGTCTCCTCCAGTCTTTACCTAACGTGCTTCCCTGTAAGCATGGAGGGTAGTAAAGCTGATTGATGGTCACAGTATTAATTTCAACAAAATGTCACATTCCCTGCTTTTCAATCTCCCTTGGGCTGGACTCTGGAATCTCTAGGTGCGGGTCATTCAGAGTAAGGCACACACCTTCAGGAAAGCCTGCTTAAGGCAACCACCCATTTGAATCCATTTATCCATTTGAATGCCAATGTCTGAGTGAGTGGTGTAGGTTCCAGAGCACCAGGCAGCATTTGACCTGATAGCAGAGGAGGCCACCACAGAGAGACACTGGACTTTTGGCTGGGCGCTGTCACTGGGTAGAATCCAGGTTATCTCCCCCAGGGAGGTGACAGATAAACTGTTGTCTGTTGGAAGAAATTCCAGCTCTTCAAAAACCACTATGGGGGCTGGGAGGTTGGTGGCGCACGCCTTTAGTCCCAGCACTCGGGAGGCAGAGCCAGGCGGATCTCTGTGAGTTCGAGGCCAGCC